AATGTTTTAAATGTTCAGTTATTTTTGTTATAAGAAAAAAGTTATTAAACCTGTTATACTGTATTATTTATTTTAAACTAAATTTCAATACCGTGATAATACCGCATACCGTGACAAAAGCATTAGCAATTAATCGCAACATGAGAATTTCATACCGGCATATCCCTACTCCACAGGTAATAATGCACCACATAAATACAAACCAAACACCGCTGTAAGTTACATAGTTTTTTTGCAAAGAACAAACCTGCATTTCATTTTAAGCTGAAGTGCATAAAATGGTTTAACACAGTTCCAGTGTTTAAGTTGGTGTGAAATGAAAATTCACCTTCAGTTTGTAAATGTACATTCTAGATCTTACTGAGAATGAATCATCCATGTGTATGCTTCTTTCTTTCTTTCTTTCTTTCTTTCTTTCTTTTTTTTGGCCACATAATGTTTAATCAAAATGAATTGAATCAATCATTTAGCCCACTTAAACTCCACATCAGTGACTACGTTTACATGGACATCAGTAATCTATACATGTTATAGTAGTTCGATTAATGGCACACATCATTACGTGACACCATGTGATGCCATCTGACGTCCCCTCCGGAATTTCACGTATAAACATATAGTTCGTCTTCGTTATGAAGCCATATACAGTTTTGGGTGTTTCATTTTTAATTATACGTCAAACGGTTGACCACTGCCATGTGTATTCTGTCGCAAAATGTGGTGAAAAGTCCTACACGACGGTAATTAGGGATGCATCAATACCACTTTTTTCAGAATGAGTCCGATACCGATACTTTAATTTTTGGTTCTCGCCGATACCGATACCTGTATTTTCACAGCATTTGTAATTTCTTTAAAATATTGGGTACAGAAACAAAATAATAATAATATGAATCATGTTGGCTTCATTTAGCAAACAGATATTTCCTTCAGTTATTTCCACACTTAATTATACCTGTTAAAATGTATTGTATAAGCTTTTGTTACTTTCACTGTTCATTTTAATGGCGCATTAGAGCTGCTCCATTGCAGCAACTCAATACTGTAATCACAAAACTTTTTCCTAAAATAATGCAGGGAACCACTTATTATACATTATACGAGTACATGCATACTATTTTGGTGAGGTAAATTGCGTCACGCGCACTGTACGTGGACCCTCGCGTACGAGTAAAAACCGAAATATACTTTGGCCTTTAAAGCAAACTAAACATGTGCAGCGTGCACACATTTGTATTGGTGCAGAATGAGAGAGACACTTACAGCCTAGCGCATTTCACCCAGTCTGCTAGTTTCACTTCTGCTTTAAATAAAGTCGTGTATGCTTGACATTTAAAATAAATGTTGTTTATAGTGAATGACCCTATAATTTTTGTTTGTTTTATATTTACGATTTAGTTTTAATCCAAATGCATGCTCTAATGGAGCGAACAGCAATCAAGATCATGCAACAGAAGCGCGTGCTCTCGGACTCTCTCTCTCACTCTCTCTCTCCTTACCGTCAAATAACTTTAGTAACTTGTGCATTTTACTTACTTGCTTTTAAAATATCCGACCGAGCTACAAACTCTCCAGTGATGTATGTGAGATATTCACTCAACAAGCTCACGCGTCTGTGCCGCCGCGCTCTGCTTATCAGCTTGCACACATACAGGCATGGATATTGAATGTTTAACATTATATTAATTACTTACATGTACTTAATAGACATCCTTGATCGCTAATAACTCTATTCTTCTCTCTGTTGTTCTGTTGTCTGTGTTTCTTTTTCTGGACACAGCTCTATTCACACGCTGTGTGGTATCGGCTTTTGGTATTGGGGCATTTTTACGAGTAGAGAACAGGAGCGCAGTATCGGGCTTGATACCGATACCAGTATCGGTATTGGTGCATCCATAATGGTAATAATGTGATTAAGGTGTTTACATGTCTATACTGCACTTCGATAATGTGACTAAAATAGGAATACTCCACATGTCTTAATTCTATTTGTGTTTACTTTGAGTATGACTTTAGTCAGATTAAGTTAATCAAAAATCTCTCATTGGACGAGGGTTCCATTACAAAAGTAAAAACACTAATAAAAAGTGTCAAAAACTACAAATATGTGAGAATGACAGACAAGCAGAGAAAGAGATTTGAGTGATTAATAAACAATGAATCGTCTCATCATCCGATCTACAGATGACACACAGAATCACGTCTGCAGTTTTTCATTTTCGATGATCTGTTTCACTCAGATTTGTGTTACAATACAGAAGAAAAGATCTGTCACTGCTTCCATTTTACTGCCTGTAATTTTCACACCTTAAAATATATATTTAATTTCATCATGTCATATTTATTAATTTTAGTCAATGTTACTCTGACTGAAATGGCATTTAATGAAATGAAGTTTTTGACCACTGAAAATGTGCACAATTTAACAATTTACTCCTGGAACCATATTAAGATCCTTGTACATCTCTGGAACTGAACAATTGAGGGCCTTAAAAATGTAGATATCAAAAGAAAAGTTTAAGACCAGAAATCTAAAAGGCTATTATGATTTCTTTAATATGTCTTGAATTACAGGCATGCAAACTTTGGGAAAAAAACTTAAAAAGTGCTTTTTCCCATTTTTGAACTGTCACCATTGGCATATAATGCAACAAAGATTGCAAAAATCAACAGATTTTACTAATAGAGCTACCAATCTCTGTGGAAAAATAACATAATGATGCTGCCATAATTTTTACCCTCTTGTAATTTGGCTCTGAATCTCAGGTGAAAATTTTCATTTTGACCCCCCTCTACAAAATAGTGGATTACTCAGTAAATATACATCCATGACATTTAATATTTTGTCTTTAATCACTATTTATGTTTAACTTTCTTCAGAAAAAATATTGACAAAATCAAAAATTTGAGCCAGGGTTAGTTTCTTGAATGTGGTTGAATGACCCTTTTGGAAGAGCATAGACTAAAGATGCTCAAACCAGGGCCTGCGGGTCAAAGTCACAAAAGGAGGGGGAAAACAACATGCCATTGAAGTGCTCATGAGCTCCACCAGAGGGCATTCCATCCCTGACTTTTACCATTCACCCAGGACTCCATTTCCCATAATCCTTTGCCCGGACTCATCAGCGCTCATCAATTGCAGTCACTTGTCTCTCATCACCTCATCAGTCTCACACTATAAGAATGGCACACACACTCTCACATCACTGATGATTGATAGTCTGCAATGTTTTCTAGTTTCCATGTTCCTGCCAGTGTTTCCTTGTTTTCCTGTGCCTTGTCTTGCCTTTGTGGTTTTTGGATCTTGGACTGTTTATCTGGTTTTACGATTGTTTGCTGCCTGCCGTGACCATTGCCTGTGCTGTGGATTACTCTTTTGCCTGTGCCTGGGATATTACTGTTTGACCCTGCCTGTTCTGACCACACTCTTAATAATAAAGCCTTGCATTTGGATCCACTACTCCGTTGTCACACGACTCCCCACATTACACATATATTTTTGTTTTAATTTTTAATTTTAATTAATACATTTTTCTTTATTTTTTTCTATTTTTGCATTGCAATTGTTACATTTGTATTTTTTTAATTGAATAAATTTTAATATCATATATTTGGATATAATGCAACATTTACTTTGGGCCTACAGCCCTCAATCAAGTTTTGGCCCACTATTTTCTGGGCACCGCTGACTGATATAAAAATGACCATTAACATTTATTTATTTAATCTAATATATACAGTTAGTATGAAAAAATAGGGGTGAATGTCACTTTATGTTGACACTATGAATTAAATCTGCATGATGTGTATGGATGTGAAGTGTACACCTAGTTGCTCATGGAGTGATGTTGCTCTGTTCAGGTGCAGAATGAGAGCTTAATGATCATGTGGCCTTTCAAACACACACTACCTGTTTCAAATCTGTGTGTGAAATACTAGTAATGAGCAGTTGGTGTGCATTGTTATATTGTAATCGGTGATGGAAAGAAATGTCAGGAATGTTGTTCTGGTTTCCATGACAACGGCTCAGCATCCTCCTTCAAGACCTTAGTGCGATTCCTCTAAGATTATTATTGTGAAGTTCATGATGACAGTGGTTTGTTTGACATCTGTTACTCTCGGCATCACAATACTGGAATCTCTGAAATATTCATATTTCCTCATATTTTCAATTTAGGAGGAACAGTGACACAGAACTGTTTCAGTGAGGAAGTGAATGGTTTACCATTGTTTCAAATACTCAACTGATGGCCTGATGACGCTAGTCTTCATTACTGTCAAACCACGACTGATCTCACTGAAGGTCACTGACTTC